CATCTTCGTGGCCTCCGCCGCACTTGCTCCAACCAGTCGATACCTTTCTGATGCTGAGGGCTCCAGAGAATGAGTCATTACATACTGTTACTTAATGTATGGATGCTGTCCTGATGGCTCCTGTCTTGTCTGGGATGTCTGCTAAGCGTAAGCCTTGTGAACCTGGTGTGAGTACACTGTTATGCAAGACCTCAACTCCAGCTGAAAAATATTAGCCCTGTGATAGTGCTGAGGTCACTGAATGCAATTCTTGTATGCCCAGCTGCTGGCTACTACTTGGCTGAGAGGTATGCAGCTTTGAGGACCACTGCACGCATGTTTTTTGTAATTCCCGGTAAAGATGCCCTAAAGTGAACAGCCGGGATGCACATCTCTTCTTTGAAACTTGGGCCGTGGGACATGGTGATTATCTTTTGATTCCAGCCAGTGAGTCAGAGATCACACAGGCAGATCTGATCTAGTAGTTAATTGATTTCTAATCAGTAAATTTGGGTATGTAAAATATTTATTAAGTACAGATGGATTGGCAGTCAATTACCATTGACTGTAATTACAGTTAGTATGGGGTACAAAGATAATTGTGTAAGCTTACTATATGTATCTTAAATGTTAAATGCATGCAAAAAATGTCACTTAGCAACCCATCAATGCCTGGTGTCAGGTAAGGGGTCTCATCCTCGAGGGGTAGCCTTGAGCGGTATCCCTGCTCAAGGGGAGATCACCACCGTTCAGCCGTGGAGGGGGAGCTCCAGGTGCCCTGATGGCTGCAGGTATTTTTAGTGTGAAGTTGTTGATTTGTAGTTGGATTTTCTGCTGTTTATGAAGTTTCTGCCACTTATCTGCCCAGTCTCCAGCCAAACCTGTTTTTTTCGGGTTTGGTGCAGAGTTCTCACTGACAGCTTAACACAGTGGGATTAACTTTGGGTGGGCCCTGCTTGCTGAGCATCTGCCTGGCCCAAAGTTCAGTCAGACCAAGCAGGAGGAGGGCAAATGTCAGTGTGTCACAGCGATCTGCCTCTAGTGAGGCAAGGCTCCATAGGGTAATGTAGAAAAGAATTCCCTGGAATATTTTCCTGGTCTTCCCAGTGCACTGGGACAGCACTGGTGCTGCTTTCGCTGGGGTTCTTCTCTGTGTGACGTGACTGAAGTCCGCATGTGTACGCGGTTATTAAGAGTTATAACAATTTTTTATTACAAGGCACCATGAAAATAAGAGCACAGGAATTAGAGAGAGGTGCAGGTGAAGAGACATTCTTGTTAGGAAATTAAACTCGGGCATTGCATCACTTTTGAGCGAGGCCTGCTGAATGAAAACTTTAATCAATTCTGTCTTAGTAAGCAAACTAGAAAAGCTCAAATATTTGAAATAAAATATCTGGAAAAGGCCTGTGAGGGGAAAAAAAAAGACCCAGTTAAAAAGACTGCTTTTCTCTAGAAGCATCCGAACTGAACTCTCTATTGGGCATGTGGATTTAAATAATATGGCTCTAAATAATACGGCTTTAAATAATAACCAAACTTTTCCCAAATCTGCACATCTATTAATTTCTTGCTTTTTCTGATTTGGTGGTGTTACACACACGGTATTGATTCTGATCAGCTGTAGCGTGCTGGATTCATCTTACTGGTATTTTCCATACAGTATGCTGATTGCCTCCCAGCTGGAACCAACGTATGCCAGGAAAGTTTACCCGTGTTTTGATGAACCTGCCATGAAGGCCACGTTTAATATCAGAATCATCCATGACCCAAGCTTTGTGGCTCTTTCCAACATGCCTGCTATTGGTAGGTAAACAGCAAGTAGACTTATGTCTTTTTCCCCCCTAAATTACTTTCTAGAAGTGTGTAATTTAGCTGAACAGACTATATCATCTGGTGCAGCGGTGTTCTGTTGTCTGTGTGCTAATGCCTTGAAAATGCACAAAAAATCTGTGCCTGTGTACGTCAAAACTTGGAGGCAGTTATTCATAATTAATGCCTCTGATGGCAGTCATTCCATAGTTTTGTCAGTGGCGATGTGCTCTCCTCTGGTTGCTGGAGGCTGCAGCAGGTCTGGTAGTCAGTGTGTCTGTCTTACGGCATGACATCTGCTTGAAACGGCATCACCAGGAAGCAGAGCCTGTAATTGTGGCATGAAGGGATTCCGTTCATTCTAAGTCGGTTTTAAGACATATTTACAACATAGAAAAAATTGTTTTACCAGACGGAGACAATATCACCTCCTGTGCATGTGCAGAAGTAAGGACGAGAGGACTATAAGGTTCAGGAGATGCTCCTCCTGTCCCTTGCTGGGGTCTTGTGTGGGAAGCATGGGGATATAAGGTTCCAAATTCCGTAAGTTAGTATTGCTACACAGAAATCTGTTGAATCTCTTGCCACCTTCTTAATGGCTTTTTTCTGCACTTCATTGCCGTGAATCTTTATTTTTCAACTAAATGATATTAAGCCATAAAAAGGAAGTTTTATGGGAGCTAAGTGACTTAGGAATTATAGTAAATGGGATCTCTGTGAGAATCGCTTGAAGCACTTTCTTGCCTTGAGAATCTTGTCCATGTCCCCCTTACTTAGAAGGAAGGTATCTGATCGAGTATTTCGTATTCTCAGGCACACACTACCTCTGTTTGAATCATAATAGGTCATACATTTTAGAGATATGCAGCATGGGATAAATTTTCCACAGTTTTCCCACATCCCAAACCTGTTACAGTTTGATGTCCTTCCAAGACTTCAGTTAAGAAGCTCAAGAGTGGATTTTTGGTGTTGGCGTGGAAGGTCATGACCCTGATAACGTGGCAATAGCAACAAGTCTGGCTTCTCGCCTTCTACCAGAAACATACGGAGTCGGTGCAGAAATACAGCCTATTGGGGAGAGGTGTGAAAAACCATGCAGAAACCACAATGGCTTGAATACTTTTTAAATTCTCTTTCTAGATGTAACTGAAATGAAGGATGAAAATGGAAGCCTGTGGACTGTTACCACATTTAACACTTCGCTGAAAATGTCAACTTACTTGACTGCTTTTGTGATTTGTGATTTTGATTATGTCACCAGAACCGAGCGGGGAAATGAGGTAAATATGCGGCCGCAGAACACCTTATGGCAGTTTACAACAGACGTTGGCTTTGTAGTGCATGATGTGCTTGAGAAGGTACCACAGCCATTGACTGTGCTTTCCATCCCAAAACTATTTGCTTACGTGGCAAAATCGCTAACATTGTCCTGCAGATATTTCTGCAGAAAGCTTTCTTTCAGGACAATTAGTTTATTGCCCTGTCCTGTTCATTTCATACAATCCCACAAGTAAGTATGGGCTCTGTATGTTGAAGTGTCAGGAGCAGCTACTCTGCAGAAAGCGCTGGTCATAGTTCAGGGATTCTTAACTTCTAAGCTGTCTTAGTTGGAAAAAATATCCATTTCCACTGCTGTGAGAAACCACTGATGTTCCGTATTGAGTTATCATAGAATCACAGAATGGTTTGGGTTGGAAGGGACCTTAAACATCATCCAGTTCCAACCCCCTGCCATGGGCAGGGACACCTTCCACTAGACCAGGTTGCTCCAAGCCTCATCCAGCCTGGCCTTGGACACTTCCAGGGATGGGGCATCCACAGTTTCTCTGGGAACCTGTTCCGGTGTCTCCCCTCCCTCTCCATGAAGAACTTCTTCCTGATATCCAATCTAAACCTCCCCGCTTTCAATTTAAACCCGTTACCCCTTGTCCTGTCACTACAGCCCCCTGTAAAAAGTCCCCCCCAGCTTCCTCGCGTTCTTCAAGGCCTTTTGAGGACCAGCATCACAACATTCATTAGGAGCAATACTATGTTCCAAGCATTTTGTGTGCTAGAATAAATATACCTTTTATTCTGCAGTGGGCACATTTTTTAGCCTCCAAAAGTGACTGTTTTGTGTTTGAAGCTCTTTCATCAGTGAGTATTCAGTTTTGCTCTTATACTGCAATGGCTAAAGAGCCTTGAGGGAAGCTGTAAAAAATACTCTCCATTGGCACTAGTTGCTGCACTTTTCCTTCTTTTGCTGGAAGTCGACAGGGAAAAGATGTATCGAGCTGTTCCGAAATAAATAGTAAGTTCAAGCATAAAGCTATTAAAGGTAGCACGTATTTGGTATCCTTAATAAATGAAAGCACAGTGTTAGCTTCGTGGTTAGTTCGCCGTCATCCTGCTGGGGAGAGGTGGGACAAGGTGGGTGCAGAGGTGACCTAGGAGGCACAGTGTTAGCTCCTTTTTAAAGTGAAGATGGCATGTCGTACCTGCTGTCCCCTGCGCAGAGCATGTTGGATGCTCCCGGCTCTGACTGCGGTGCCTTTTTCTTGGGCTGATGTGTGCTGAGAGCAAAGCGATCCAAAGGGAAGAGGCGCCACCTGTGTTCTGTGAGACAGAGGGGGTGTTCACCCCGTGGTTTCAGACAGAGATGCTGAATTTGGGCCTCCGCCGTGTTGGTGTGAGCATGTTCGTTGTGTCTGTACTGTCATTTCTGGTAACCGGTTTACAACCTGAAATGCTGGTATTGTAACCCGAAGCTCATCCTAGGATTAGGATTTTAAGTCTGTCCGTTGTGTTTGGGTTTTGCAACATGAAGCAATACGGTCTTTGATTTTTCTCTGAAGCCTCGGCTGAAAAGAGGTGCTCAGAGGCTGAGAATACTCTGTTGACTGAATATGTTTTATTTTTTCCCTTGTAAATTAAATCCTGATGCTTCCCAACTGTGCTCTTAGGGTTTGGAACCCCCTGTGAGACCATGTATTACATTTAGATGCAAGAAATGCAGGGGTTTTGAGCTGCCTGGCACCCCTGGAGCCTCACATCCAGAGGTACACGGTGCAGACATAAACCTTTTTCCATGCTCCATCACTTTGGGCAAGGAGCTGCACTTTTCAGTGCCGTGACAGAGCAAATGGGCACAGGGGGCGAACGTTTTGCTTGCTGCTGCTTCTTCCCTTACTCAGAGGTACAGATGCCATCTGCCTAGATGTCATCTGCTGTCTCCAGCGACGCTGGGGCGGCGGTGGTCTGTTTCAGGCTGCGAGAAAGTTCAAGGGGAGAGATGTGTGTATTTGGACAGCAGATGCTGTCTTCAGGGAAGGAGTGGGGCTAGAGGAAAGTTCGTTACCCAGACTCACTGGCTGGTATACATCGGCTTAAGATGTGTGATTCTAAAGGGTTTTACAGCATTTCCCATTTAATAAAAGAAGAACCAAGATTCCATTTGTTCCAGCAATGTATAGTTGGATTCCTATCTTGGCCCTTCTGAAGCACTGGAACTCTCCTAGATTTTAGGAGGATTAGGCTTTGTGCCACATTTTGTTAGGTCCGGCAAAACTTGAGTTGGGATCTTTTTCATTAAAAAACTTCGTTGCACGGTCTGGTGTGGACAGACAGCATTTTCAAGCAATGATTCACAGAAGAGAAGCCAGGAAAATGGAAATGTAAGGGTTGTCTAAAGTAACGCATTCTTGTTTTATTGCAGATACGTATTTGGGCTCGGAAAGAGGCAGTGAAAAATGGGTATGTTGACTATGCTTTAAATATCACAGGCCCAATATTTTCATTTCTGGAAGACTTACTTAACGTCAGCTACCCTCTGCCAAAGACAGGTGAGATTACTTATTTTCTTAAGTGTCCCAGAAATGGCTGCTGATGGTGTCACATTCATAGAAGCAATGGAGTTTTTTTCAGTATTCTCTTTTTAAGCTTACCACATTCATGGAATAAACCCCCAAAACTTTAACTCACCGAATTCTCCTTTCTGTATCGTGGCTTTTATTAACCCATAACTCAGCACTCATCTTCACATCCTACTCATTCTTCTAGAGCATCATTTCCTAATAAAGGGGCAAATGGGACTACAGAGTGGATAGAAAGGAGTTGTTCAGGCACATGTCTATTTCTGAGATGCATAGACCATACCAGGCAAGGATGTTGTAGTCCCTGTGTCCTCCTAAAAAAATCCATGCTTGCTGTAACCCATGACTCCCAAAAGCATTCCTTGCTTCTTCACTATGTCCCCGTCTTGCCTGTGAGTTGGCTGCATATTCCTGCACATTCCTTCCCAGAAAAAAGAATCCTGCAGGAAAGCACTGTTTTTGCTTAAAATGGACATTAGACAAGTGACTGAAGTCTAGCTTCGGCCAAGAAAAAAGGGTGCCATCGCGTAGTTCCACTGTACAGTTTGTCTGCTACTTGTACTTGGGTTCCCAAGGGCTTTAGCTTGAGTATTATGGGGAAACGTGCTCTTTTACACAATTGGTAGAATGCTGAGAGCAGAGAGGATAGTTCCTCCCTAAATGAGTTTTCAACCTGCCCGTGATCATAACATATTGCAGGAGAGTGGGGGAAGAATTTCCCTCCTTTCTTGACTAGATGATCTGTTGATTTCTGTAATCTATATTGTGGCACTTGAAACAAATACATTTTTATCTGTGTAACTGTATTATCTTCCCATGTATTTCGAATAACTGGAATTACTCACTACACCTCTTATGGAAAATGTAATATACACAGTCTTCGCTCTCTAAATTTTGTTATCTTAGTAATCATATGAGCTACTCAGGGGCCATAGACAATTCTGTCTCATGCTTGTGTTCTTCTGTTTAGCAGCAGTATCAATAAAATATTTCATTAATATATAAATATTACAAAATTCAAGTATAAGGACAGTATTGTAGGCTTCCTGTTAGGTAAGATACCATTACTGTCCCCACTGTAATCTTGTGCAACACCAACTGCATTTCCCACTGAATTTCTTTGAAGTTTTGCTTAAAAACCAGTAGGATTAGATTGACCAAGAATAGCTCCACTTGTAAAGGCTAGAAATTTCAATTGCAAACTCAAAATGTGACACTAAGAATAAATGCATTTAAAAATCAGGGATATTTAAGGGTTTGTCTTCACCTGAGTTTAATGCAGTTATAAGTGAGCTGTCTTGCCCCAAGCTGGTGAGGTGGGAGCTGCCCCACTGAAAACTAGTACCTCTGCTGTCGGCCTGAGGTGATAAGCCCTCCTGAGATTCAGCCTCGCTTTGCTTGGGTTCAACACCATGCTTACATTAGGTGCCTAGCTTTTGGACTGCGACTAGCTCATAGAATCGTAGAATTGTCATAGAATCATAGAACCATAGAATGGTTTGGGTTGGAAAGGACCTTAAAGATCATCTAGTTCCAACCCCCCTGCCATGGGCAGGGACACCTT